GTGACAAGTACAATTACAAGCTTACAAGAGCTGCTACTATACACTTCCGATTTATGTAAAGAGTCTATCCGGTATCTACAATGAATATTCGGATATTTCAATTTGTTTGTTCGTTTGTTTAAGATAATAAATTGGAAAATAGGAATATTAAAAGTAACGTTATTCTACGTTCGACGCATCCAGCATATAATTCAAATTTCAAGAAATTGTCCGTCACTCGTGTCAGAATGCAAGCCACGTTTTGTTGCTACTCGTAATTGCCCGTTATCCCGTTTGAAAATGCGATTTCCACGGAGATGTTTATTTATGGGTTTATTTGTCTTGTATTCATTGTATAAACCCATCATTACGTTCTATAAACGAAGATTATTTCTGCACCGTCTATAGTATCATTGCGAGATTGCATTCCCATCTGTGCATTTTTTTGTACAATTTATTCAATGCAAGCCCATGAAAAGGAATAAAGTATTGACATGGATATTTTTTTGTATTTTTTTTTCAGAGTTGCTCAGCTACCAGGTGGGTTCTTCGGGACTCCTCTAGATTCTCGTGGACGATTGATGCCTACTAACATGCAGTGTATTTATTATGAATTACGCCTGCGTGGTATCTGTACTCTGTGCTACATTAGACAAAGAGCAAATGTTATCGTTGCAAGTATATTCATAGAAAATATAAGACTTCAGTTCCAAGACAGTTTCGCTGTAGAAAATCAGAACGTGCTATAGAGAATTTACTTTTCCAGTTTGGATAGAGTTGAGACTGAATTTGTATTTTGGAGGGAGTTAATAAGTCCAATTTGTTACCAAATTACTTATCTTGAGAAACAACTTTCAAAAAAAATCTTAAAGAAGTTTCAAAATACTTGCGATGTATTGATTACTACATGAGGCCAAGTCAAGCGGGCAGCCAGAAATGTCGTGTTTACCTGTCAAGTAATACGGGTAATATTTTCTTGCAATTTTTCGCTCAGCAATGTTGTGTTTTCAGTTGAAAAGAGTTGTTGTGCGTATTATCAGCAGTGTTGTAAGTTGCTGCAAAAAGGTTGTACCAAGGAGAACTCGTCGAGTAACGTCCTCGCGCAACATGATGCCGCAACTTATAACATGGCTGTAAATACTCGTGGAAAAGCTTTTAACTTACAACACAACATTATTGAGCTACTAGTTGCAAGAAAATATTACCCATATTATTTGACAGGTGAACAGTAAATTTCTGGTTGCAGTTATTTGCTTTTTGAAGGGTTTATATTTCATATTCCATGTTTTGTCTGCAATAACGCGATTAAGTTGTCTTATCCATCGATATGTTTCAAAGAAGTTTACTTGGTTTACACAAAGCTAATTTTTGCCAGAAAGCTATCGGCCAGTTTTGAATTTTTTTGTCAAACGTTTGTCTTTATTGCTTAATTAGCGATTTTTGCGAAAGATTTATTTCGTACATAATTTGGTTTAAAATGGAATTAACATTGATCTTTATAGTTATTGCGGATCTTGTGTACTTAGTTTTAGTTTTCATGGATTTTGCATGTAATATTGTTATTGAACTTTGCAATTAGAGATTTGTGACACCAGAAATAAGCTAAATTGATTTTACAACTTGTATATTTAGTTGACACTTTACTAGAGGAAATAAAAGAAACCATTGTTACCAACAAATGAGTCTTGCTTTATTTGAAAGTAATAAAATGAAAATAATAAAGAAACAAAACAAGGAAAATAAATTTTAAAATATTGCGCTTTTAAAGGGGCCTGGAAACTAGTGAAAATGTAGGCTATCTCTTTTACTGTTTTTTGACTATGTAGGGTTGCCGACGCGGGAAAACTTTCTGCACGTTTAAACAGGGTCTAGGAACAAGTCAAAATAAATGCTGGCGTTTGATGGGGCAAATCTGACAGCGAACTGCCCAGATTTTTCCCGCCAAAAGACTTAGTTTATTTTTGACAAATTTCTAGACTCCATTTAAAACAGCAGACTTTTTTCCCGCCAAAAGACTTATTATTTTTGATAAATTTATAGACTCTAAGCGCAGACTTTCTTCCCGCAAAAAGACTTAGTTTTTTTCGACAGCGCAAACGTTTTTCACCAAAAGACTTGTAATTTTATTTGTAAACCTCTTGGCCCATTTTAAGAGCGCGTGTTGACATCTCGCCAAAAGACTCGTGTAGAGAGCTTTCACGTTATTTATTAACTGTATTTGCGTGTGTGAGCTTCGTTATACAGCGCCTTCAATAATGATTCAACAGAACGATGTCATTCTTTCACTCCTGGAAAAAAACAGAAAAATAAACATTAAAATAAAGTTTTTTTTTGAAAAACGATTACTGAATAATGATAACTCTGTCGTAAACTGTCTGTCTTAAACTGGCCTAANATTTAAAACAGCAGACTTTTTTCCCGCCGAAAGACTTAGGTTATTTTTGATAAATTTCTAGACTCTAAGCGCTGACTTTCTTCCCGCAAAAAGACTTAGGTTTTTTCGACAGCGCAAACGTTTTTCACCAAAAGACTTGTAATTTTACTTGTAAACCTCTTGGCCCCTTTTAAGAGCGCGTGTTGACATCTCGCCAAAAGACTCGTGTAGAGAGCTTTCACGTTATTTATTATCTGTATTTGCGTGTATGAGCTTCGTTATACAGCGCCTTCAATAATGATTCAACAGAACGATGTCATTCTTTCACTCCTGGAAAAAAACAGAAAAATAAACATTAAAATAAAGTTTTTTTTTGAAAAACGATTACTGAATAATGATAACTCTGTCGTAAACTGTCTGTCTTAAACTGGCCTAACAGTAGCAAAATTCAAATTTTGTCTTGAATTTTACTCCAAACATCTTGCGGACATGACAGTTTGTAACGTATAATTCAAACAATTCTTGAGTATGAAGCTCACACTTGTAAGTCTTCTTAACTATTCTGGCGTTGTGCAACAAGTCAAGCACAGTAGCATATATCACTAAATGATTATAAATTTTTAAGTATGAACTTATTCGAATAGTTAGGTTTGTCTCAGTTAAAAACGAAATATTGACGTGAAGTAATTAAAAGCAAAAACGCGCCACAAAAGGTGATTTTCAAAAAGGCCGTCACATATTTGTGAATTAACAGTTGCTGGAAATTTAAGAAAAATAAATTCGACTAGTGTTTTGTTGGCTACTTATCGTACAGCTTCTTAAATTATTTGGGTATGCAAGACATATAACCCTAGAATTAATACAGACAAACGTTTGACGGCTAGATTGTAGAATACTGGGCACTCATTTACATCTCATTGAATTTGAATGGTTTCTTTAGTTTCTACATGGTTCGTTCTCAGAAGACTTGAGGGATATGTTAATAACTGGCCCGGTATTGTACAATCGCTCCAGTTTGGCTGCAATAATATCATGACCACCGTACTACGTGCATTTATTCATCAACGAGCGAAATTTCACTGACTGAGGATATTTTGCATTTTCAAGTACATAATTTGACATGTTTTGTGTCCCAGGTGCGAAACTAAAATGTAAAGTTAATGAGACGATATGTCAAAGACAAGAGTAGGGGCAAAGTTCCTTTTACAGTGCCTGTTAATGTTTTACAGAGATTATCAGATGAAGTGGAGAAATTTTTTGACATTTTAACTATCATTCTCTCTAATTTCTCCTTAAATTTGCCACATATGTCGTTAGGCCGCGAAAATCTCCGAAACTCGTCTTTTGATTATTTCAAGAAAACGCGATCTGATTGCAAACAATAACACGTTATACCTCATTCCCGCGGCCATTATTCCACTTTCTATTCTGAAATTTTGTTATCCTTGCATTCTATTATATTACTCTTCACTCCTTAAAGCTGGTCAAACGAGTTTCAAAAAAGGAGCTTCCTCAGTCCAAAATAAAAATATCACTAGAAACAATACGTGAAATAGAAACCCATTCAACTCTTTTTTCATGGTCAACATGGCTTGCGTCAGGGATCGCGGGCGCGTGCGCCCAACGACGACGTCGCGCAACATGGCAGCCATACTCCAGCTAATTCCAAGTCTTGGTTTACAGCGTATGTCTTTGATATTTGACATCCATGTTATGGTCAATTGACACCTGTCAAAACAAGGTATCGGCTGGCCAGTAGCACGTCACTATATCGCGGGCTCAGGTTTATAGTTCATCGAGGTCATGTGCTTTTTTTAAAGGTGACCGCTGACCAAGCACTTGTTACCCTCGGTAACTTCGAACTCTCGATAACTCGGACCTCCCGCTAACTTGAAGCAATTTTCGTTTCCCTTCAGGACGATTTTCTATATAATCTTACCCTCGATAACTCGAACCATGTCTGTCAATACGTGACAAGTCAAAACAAACAGTGTACTGTAGTCCGTGTGAACTTTTTTCTTTCTTTTACTTTACACAAAACGTGTCAGTTTAGTTCAGGTTCCGCTTTTTTTCACAAAGTGTTGCTTCTTAACTCCTTTCCCAAAATGTCAATTTTCCAAATCCCTTAATTTTCTTTGATTTTGAAATATTCTATTTTTCCATTACCATTACCTGACCTGAGGCAACCATGACAATGTAAGCTTACGAGTCTCGATTTATTCGGAATTAGTTCCCCTGAAAGTTGTAACTACTTCGAAGTTTTTTTCCAAAAAAAAATACAAATAATTTTAAGCGAATTTTAAGCGAGGATATGTGACGTCGTTTCTTATCGATAACAATAAGGCATTAAAATAAACAAAAATGTAATTAATTATAAGTAAATATTGTTAACTTACCATGAGAGAATGCTGTTGTCAGCGTGATAACAGTTTGAACCGCTGCGAAGAGAAGAAATACAATTAATAAAATATAATCATGAAAAAAGCCAATCACCTGCAGATTTAATAGGAAAAACATCGGCTTATGCTTTTAGGTACTTTCATTCAACATTGTTTTAAAGTCTTTGTTAAACCAACTTACACAAGCTTTTCCCATCCAAAATTCAGATTTCCAACACCAATTTACTGAGCTGAATCGATAACCTTTGTTTCGCGGTTGCTCATCATAACGGTGTCGAATCACTGTGCGTCAGTATTAAGCATTATTAAGCGCAACGTATAGGGGTTGATTGCCACCATAGATGTTTAAAATTTAACGGCATCACAGACCCCCTTTCCTTAGTATTTTTTAACCTCCACAAAAGCTATATTTCAATAAGGTCGCCTCTAGTGTTGCCTCTAGTGTTGCCATGGTAACTTCTGCGTCGTGATGATAATTTTGTCAATGTGTTGTAGAACATTTTACAAACTGTATCGATTTATAAAAGTGCGGGAACTCATACATTCTTAGCTTAACCTTGTTTCAGTTCTCAAACCCCAATACTAATGCTGTATCCCGGTGAACCAGAATGTCCCTGGGTAACTTTAAATTAACTAGAACTTGAAGAATTAGAATTCCTTTTGAATATGGAAATCATACTAATGTACCAAAGACAAGTCAAAAACACGTCAATACCATAGCCTTTGGGTGGGGGAGGGGTGGGGAGTTGCTTGTTATCTAAATTCAGATCCTTCTGATCCGTCACAGCTTGAATTAAAATTTTTTCAACCCGGTATTCCCCTCTTTTACGTCGTCTCTGTGTTCTTATAAGATAGGCCCTTTGCACGATCTGGTCACCTGGTACAAAATCACACATGCTGGAACGCAAGTTGCACTGTGGGACTTCCAAAACAAAGGCAGGTCAAGGTGGACTGGTGCGAGTTGCTTTGTTTTGGAAGTCCCACTGTGCAAACTGTCCCAGCATGTGTGATTTTGTACCATGCGACCGGCCGGTTACCGGATTGTGCAAAGGGCTTCTTGTTTTCTAGATATGGCAAAAGATTCAACTGAAAATTACTTACAGGCCGCAAACAGCCAATCATCAACTTAACGTACTTCACAAGCTTCATGCGCTGTGTCTGCAAGTCTTGTACCGTATGAAAGAAAAAAAGAAAATTAGTCGCTAAGATTACATCTTGAGCTATAACGGTAGAGTATTTCCACCAACATTACACTTTATTATCCAATACTCACCTTAAGATCACTGCTAATGTAGGCATAACAGAATTGAGTTACGCCTTTTCATCTCTTTATTTCACAAACGTGCCTAAAAAAGTACACGAAAACATAAATAAGTATTTTGAAAGCTGAACTCTAACGATATGATTTCAACCCCCACAGAGCAAAGTCTAACATTAAACAGATCTATTATCAATGTCCGATGCATTCAAATATTGAACCATAAGACATCTCCGTAAATGCTGTACACCCTTGAGAGAAAAGCCCCTTCCTATTTCCGAAAATAAACTCCCCAAATACCAGACCACATAACAAGTACCCCCCCCCCCTTAAAAAAAAAGGCAAAATGTAAGCTCAGGGGTCGAAAATTAGATTTGGCTCTTAAAGTGAAATATAACTTCTTCAAAATGTAAGCCAGCTATTGCAGAATTTGTTCGATTTTTATGTCTCCATAGATTTGTGATGTTCCTCCAACTGTTCAGTGAACTGTAGAATATAAATGCCTTCCTGCTTCATGTCCGTGGCTGTGGAGGTTTACCCTATACTTCAATCCCCTTAACGTTTCTCATTCAAAAGTCACTTCGAAATATGAATCAAAATATATTTGAAACACAAAATCTTTTTCCAAAATAATCCCCCACCGAAAAAGTTTTTAAACAAATACGATGCCAAGGCTTATTGTGGAGATTTTACGGTACAATGGTCCCAAATTAAATACTGTTGCGTTCAAAAAGATTTTAATGCCATACTTACTGAAAATGCTTACTATAGTCTTCTACACTTCGCCTTTTTAAAACTGTTGTTTACAGTCTATCTGAAAAATGAAAAGATTGTACATCAATTTTGTCCTGGAGAAAGAGTTGTTTGCCTCAACATAAACAACGTTCTCCGTGTCTCCGTTAGTCGCCGGTTGGGAAGCGGCGTTGAAAACTTACACCAAGAATGTTAACCGAATATCAATTGGTTTAGAATTTATTTCTATAATTCTACCAACAGGAGAAGCATCCTTCGAAGACTTAACTGTTATGCTCAGAGATAAAAAGCTCTGCTCGCAACTTCCATTGTAAACCCCGTGTGTCTTACCTTCGAGTCAGTCTACACTGGCTTATCTCGTTCAGTGCCGTTTCATTATCCATAATTTCGCTTTGGAGCATTTCTCCTTTCCATTATACTTACGCCGGTCGTTTTGTCCACCAGCTTTGTGTGGCAAACGTTCATCTTCTTTGCAGAAACATAAACCAGAGACCAACGAAGGTTATGGCAAGTCGGAGTTGCGATGAATAATTATCAGCGCAAGCGTGCGCTCTTTGAATTAAATCTACAATTCAAATTTGTAAGCATAATTGATCAGAACAACAGCATGCATCGAACTTTTGCGTCACATTTATCCCCGATCCGATTAAATGATAGATTTTAACGAAGTTTCAGATTTCGGAGGCTACAGTGGCGACTGACATATACTGGAAGAGGGAATGCACAGGAACAGAAAAGAAATGTAATAAATTAAAGGCGAATGAAGAAAAATGCTTTATTAATCAGTAAGATAAGACCTTCGTGGATCACGAAATCCTGGAAACGTATCCAGATAATAAAGGAGTTGTTAGATTCATGCGCACTCCGATTTCATTCCCGCTTTGGGATCGCTCGTTCATCTTGTTCTTTCCACCTCCAAAAGAAATCGACTGGTTCGGTAAGCGAGCTTTTATCCAGATCCAGAAAAATGCCTTGCATCCGTCAAAACCGAAGGGAGCTGATGGCTCTGTGAGAGCGACCAACGGAGGCAATATTGACGTGATTATCCCTGACGAAAGCAACCCAAGCGCAGCATGCACGCTGTTCAGTCTCTCCAAGAATAACTACAATGGATGGCTGCCAACAAAGCACATCGAGTGGATTGTCGGAAGGAAAGTTCCCGCTGCGTTCAACCAGTTTTTGGCAAGCATGGTCGAGGGTTACGAGAAATATTTCAGGCAAACATAACTTTTTTTTAGTGAAATTTGAACTCATTCAGTGCTTCAATAGCTGTTATATTTGAACAGCGTTCCTACAGAAGCAAGGACAATATAGCATCATTTAGTAGCTGAGATAATTGTCTTGTATTGTCTCTATGTATCTGACCAAACTACTTATAGACGTCATTGTAATCGATTGTATCACAATACCGTAAATATTTTCACAGTAAACGCAAGGGTTAAAAACTTGTTCCTCGTGCTTTATTTGGGGTCTGGTGAGGACGGGTGGGGGGGGGGGGG